ACTCCACACTTCATGAAACTGTGGATTCAAACCCATGTAGGAGGATGGAATCTATTCTGGATTTTTCATATAGCAGGTAGGTGCTCAGTTATTGGATAAAATGGGACGTCCACCATACTGAGGCACATTTAGGAAAACTAATGTAATTTGTTAAAAATTACTTTTTTTTTTTTAGCAAACCAATAATTACCTATAATTGTCTCTCTCTACCTTTTGCCCCGTTTCACATCCAGAGACACCCTTCTCCTTTTTCAGAAGTACACACCGTAAGGATATGTAGAATAATCATTTTTTTCTCAGGATACCTGATTAACAGCTGTTTAACATTCAAGACTTGGACAACAGACAGAAGAAGTCATTAATCCCCAGATACACAAACCCAGGAGATAATGGGGACAATACCAAAGACCAGAAATCTCAGGCCACTGATGGGCCATTGAAGGAACCACTCAAAATTCTCGAGGAGATTCAGCTGGAACTTTCTAACTGATGAGGGGGAAGGTAGATTATCACAAGTCTCTCAGGAAAGAACAAACGCATTATGGGGTACTTTAGGGTGTTTACACGATTGCACAAAATGCATTACAGGATTTTTAGGGGAGAGGCCAAAGATGGGGAAAGGGTGGGATGAAGGTACTTTGAGGATGAACAAGCACGGGAAAACAGAGAGGCAGTGGGACAACAGGGGCCAGTTGTGTGAAAACAAGCTGCTGGTCAGCACACTTGCCTAGCCAAGTCCTAACCACGTTCCCTGGTAAGCTCTCTGTTCTGTCTGTGTGTGCTGCTAGCAAACTTCAAGCCAGGGTAGCTAGCCAACAGGGCAAAACGTCTGGGACCTAGCTACTGGAGAGAGCTTGGGTCTGGATGTCAGGTAGAGTACAGACTCCAGGTTTGACAGTCGAGTTGCCGGGTGGAATATAGGCCTGGACCAGGTATTGGAGAGACCCGCCTGGGTAGGGGGGGGAATGAGGTGGAAGATCTGCTACTGACACCGCCTGGTGGGTGGGTGGGTGTTGTACTGGGAACACCTGCTCAGCATTCCCACCAGCTGGACCCCGGGCTGAGGGACTGCAGCAGCCCGGCTGTAGTGGGTGGGGAAGGAGAGCTCACCTAGGTCCCAAAGCCCACTGGCCTGAGCTTCCTTTTGACGCAGTCCACCATTACAGTGACATTCAGATGGCAAAACATCAGCGCAAACATCAAATACAGAGCTTTAGTTGAGAAACGCCATTCTACTGTAGCAAATGTCATTGTGTCCAAGTGGGTTTCCCATCAGTTATGGGAAAAACAGGTCAGCGCTGCGGCCTTACAGCAGGATAGCGTCGGCTCCTTGAGAACAAGCTGCAAAAGACAGTAACTTAAAAACAAACAAACAGTTAAAAAAGCGAATTTCTCAGAAGAAAACTTCTTGTTTCCTTAGGCACGTACTCCAAAACAGGCTTTCTGGAAGAGACTGCCTGGTACCACGGGGCTTGCAAGGGCTGAGGGTAAGCAGTTTGTGGAGACCCTGCGCCTTGCCAGGACAGGGGCTGCTGACGAAGACAGGCCAGGCTGCCGACGCGTTACCCCTGGCCACAGCCGTTTGTAGGGTTTTGCTTCTGCGCGGCGGCGCCCCTCTCCCCGGCGTCGCCAGAAGGCAGGCAGTCCCGCAAAGCACCGACACCGGGAGCGCTGCCCCCAGCAGGCGGGAGGCGGCGGGCCCGAGCACTGCCCCGGCCCCTCGCCGCTCCCGCCCGCAGAGCCCGGCGACACC